CGTACTGGCAGGGATTGTAGGTGGGGGGAGTGAATGTACAGCGATCTCTTCCACCTTCAATACCACAACTGAGGGGCCATTGAGCAAGGCACCGAAGCCCCAACTGCTCCCCGGGCACCGCAGCAAAAAATGGCTGCCCACTGCTCCGGGTGTGTGTTCACAGTGTGTGTGTGTGTTCACTGCTGTGTGTGCAGTTCTTAAAGTAATAGCAGCCAAATAACCTAATAGCTCAGCTGCGGTGATTAATTAAAGAACAAAAGAAAAAAGAGGAAATCAATAACTTTTGTAGCTTTAGAAGTAAGGAAGAAACCTTATGTATACTTCTACAGTATATTTAATTTAGAATTTAGTGTTTGATAACTTATTTGAGAACTATTCAATTTCTGTATATTTCCTACTTGCTGAAGGGCACAGCTAAATATGACATTTATTATAATGGGTTTATGTGAAGATTGTTTTAAGTTCAATATTCAAGTTTCAATATAAAAGTATATTTAAACATTTTAATGTTAGGTGGGATAAATCACAATTAATTTCTGAAAATATATATATATATATATATATATATGTATGTATGTACGTATATATACAGTATTCTCGTGTCAGTTCATTTTTATTTGAAGGGTTGCAAGTCTATACATCACTCAGCATTAAAGGGCGTCACCTTTCAAACACACGCCTAAATACAGAAAAGAAAGTAAAAAACACAAAATAGAAAGAAAAAAGAAACTGCATAGAAAGACTAAATAGAAAGTCCAAGAATTCGACTTTGAAAGGCGACGCCTGCTATTGTTGAGTGACTTGTCGACAACTGTAACAATAAAAATTTTAATGAAATTAAAAAAATTAAAGGAAAAAAAATCAATTCAGGCATGATAAAAATGACAAATGACAAAACACCCACATACAAATCTGATCAGTTGCCTTCAAGGGATTTGCATGATTAATTTAGCAGGAAACATCACATTTTTCCTGTTCTCTGTGAATGATTGTGTAAGTTAACATTCATCACCTCCACTCCTCACGAAGATAGACTTGCAGTTTCGTTTCAGAGCCCTATAAAAGAGCATCTTCAGCCCAGTCACAGAGACAACGGCTGCTGTGTTGTTATTGGTGTGGTGCTGCTGCTGAAGGAATCACAGGAACAGTGAGTACATGTTTTAAAGCTTTGTGTAATGAAGTATCTACATTTACATGTTAATGTCATTTTAATTGGCATATGACAAAAGTAGCATGAATGAATCCAACATTTGTCATTAATAAGCTTTAAAATAAAGACAAAAACAATGACCTGCACACTACCAAAATTGCATAAATAAGCAATCTAATACTTTTGCAAATAAGCAAAAAAAAATGATTTGAGGGATTCATATTTCAGTGTGACAAATCTTTTCATTTTCCTTACATAAAAATCTGCACAATTTTAAATATAACTATTCTAATAATAATTATTTGAAACATACTGGGGCTATTTTAATAATAAGCAAGCAATTTTCTTTTATTTATCTGACTGCACAAGAAAGTGAGATTACATGAACTTATCAACTGTATTATGGTTATCTAATGTTATATTTCGAAGTAAAATCCATTATAGTTTAAAATACATTTTGAAATGAATTGTAATAGATCATGTTCTGTTTACTGCTTTTAACTTTTAAGCAGGAACTTTTTTCTATTTATTCTACTTATTTATATTTCCCTGTTAGTCTATTTACTTTTCCACATTTACTCTGTTGTTTTGATTACTTGCTTTTTTTTTTTTTATTTTTTTTTTTTATTCTTTCAGAAATTACTGAGAAATTCTTATGATATTAACATTCTTATATATACACGTGTAGTATTCAGAGCTGTCAGTCATGAGTGGAGAACCAGTCCTGAGAGACTAAGTGATGGAAGAACCGAATATTTACTGATTGAAATACCAGGGCTGCATTTATTTGCTCAAAAATACAGTCAAAACAGTAATATTGTGAAATATTATTACAATTCAAAATAACTGTTTTCTATTTTAATTTATTTTAAAATGTAATTTATTTTTAAAATGTTTAGTTTTTTTATCAAATTTGATTGATTGAAATTTAAATTTGATTAGGGGAAAGTCGTGGCCTAATGGTTAGAGAGTCGGACTTATAACCCAAAGGTTGCGAGTTCGAGTCTTAGGGTCCGGCAGGAATTGTAGGTGGGGGGAGTGAATGTACAGCACTCTCTCCCACCTTCAATACCACGACTGAGGTGCAATGTATTATTAGAATAACATTCCTTTGAATTTAACTTGTTGAGATAACTCAGAAATCCAAGCTATCAGTTAATAGATATCGGTGTCACATGATCAGTCAGAAATCATTCTACTATGCATTTCTCTATTTCTGTTTTATCACGTGATAGAAAGTCTAAGGCCTACGTCCGAACTGATTGCACTATATTTTATGAATAATCGTTTTCTATTCTTAACTGTTTTCAATTCATTTTAAACCTCTTAAATCAATTTTTAAATCATTTTCAAAGTTTTTAAATTCCTTGTTTTATTGTTGTGATTATTTTTTTCTTTTCTTTTATGTAAAGCACTTTGAATTACCATTGTGTATGAAATGTGCTATATAAATAAACTTGCCTTGCCTTGCCTATGCTGATTTGTTGCTCAGGAAACATTTCTGATTATATGAAATAGGGAAAACAAGAACTCATGAGTTTATCAAATGATTTTCAGAAGATGTTCTTAAATGTCAACTCTATTGTTTTATAGATGAGTGCATCCAAACCCCAGGAAAGGTAATTCTGCACAGATTCCTAAAATGATTTGATAACGAACTGTGTTGCATCACTTACACAATTAACATCTATGACAAACTGGATAATTCGGAGAATACATTATCAAAATGAATTGTAGAAGAACCTATTCAGATCTAGAATAATCATATCAAATAGGTGAATTTAAATTCAGCACTGCTCTGTCTGTCTGTCTCTGTCTCGGCTGCAGTGGTGAGGTGAGATTCGGACACTCTCTGAATAAGGAGGAAGAGTTTGTGGCCAGAAGGAGCAACACTGTTTTACAATGCCTGCAGAAGTTTAAGATACGCTGCAGTCAGGTAACACATCTTACGTTATACTTCATATATCTAACTGGTTATACCAGGGGTCGGCAACCTGCGGCTCCCGAACTCTTTCCCATGTATATTTCATTCATACTCGAAGCCGAAGGGCGCTCTCCTACAGAAAGTCTAAAACAGACTCATGTGATAGAAGTAACTTTTGACGCCAGGAAATCCCTTTGGACAAAGGCATCCAGCTGTAGCTGTAGCTAAGATGAATAACAAGCATAAACCTGCTTACTGACCTGACTGAGGACGATGGCGAATGATTTGCAGATCCTCAGCACCACTGACAAACATCTAATCTTGTAAAATGTGTGGTAAGTACTGCCGCTCCATGTATAAGTGCGATTGCGAATCTCGAAAGTGAAAGTGAAACTAAAATGGATCGTGCATTCAGAAGCAGTTTCGTGGCTCCCTGATGCCCACAATTTATATACAATATAATTACCTAATGATATAACTGCGAGAGACATTATTCAAATATGTATTTTTCTCCAATCTGGTATTTATTCCCTTGAGGGGTTCTGTATACACGTCATTTTCATTCCGAACACGGTATTGGGATGCGGCGGATTGCGGGGGGAATGGGCGGGGGGTCACGATATCAGCTCAACATTGTGTTGTCTATCAGCCATGGCATCGTCTATCGGCCCAATACGGTGACCGAGAAGTGCAAAGCAAATCACAATTCTGAAAACAAAATAACAAATTACAAACGCAAATTTCTGACTTGTTATAATGTTTTCTGAATTGTTGTTGTGTTTTCTGAATTGTTATTTTGTTTTTTAGACTTACATTTGCGTTTGTAATTTGTTATTTTGTTTTCAGAATTGTGATTTGCTTTGCACTTCTCTGCCACCATAGCCCAACCCTATTTTTCAAGTCTTTTATATGAATGATACAGTGGTAATTGACATAGCATTAATTACAGTACAGAAGCTATAAAATATATTGTCTGCCTTATTCTGTGATAAAAATGGAAAAAAGGTGTTTGTAGTATATAAACTATTATACTGATTATACAATCATAACCATAAATTTGTCATTATTAAAATATATATCAAAAATATTATAGAAGACAAATGATTGGTTACTGTCCAGCAGTGTATTTTATTTCTTAGCCAATTAAAAGTAAGAGATAAGAAAAATATCCCGGTTCAGTCTCCCGTATTTTGGTACCCAAATGTTGACAGGTACATAAATAAATATTATTAGGCCTATTATTATTATTATTACTATATTTGCCATTTCTGTCCCCCTCACTTCTGAAATGATTGCTACTCCACATGCCCTGTAACATAACTGAATATAACACTTTAGCTATATGCCGTGTTATCTTTATTTGGGGAACAAATATGTTGTGGCTCCACATGAATTTTATTCGGTAGGAAAGGGGCCAAAATGGCTCTTTTGACGTTGAAGGTTGCAAACCCCTGGGTTATACCAATATGACCAAATAATTCTGTGAGCAGTGAACATTAGATGTCAAACATCAGTTTCACTCTCTTGATTGTGAAAAACTATGCCATGCTTTGAATGGTGTGTGCATTTCAGGATGCGGTGCCAAACATTGCATTACTGGGTTCTGGAGGAGGACAAAGAGCCATGGTGGGTTTGCTGGGATCTCTGGTTCAGCTTGATAAAGCGGGTCTTCTGGACTGCATCCTTTATCTGAGCGGAGTCTCTGGATCCACCTGGTACGAACCCTGACAAACAACAAACACACAGAGACTGAATTGGGTTGAATGTCAAAAATGAGAGCAGTATGTTCTTCTCTGAAGGTGCATGGCCTCTTTATACCAAGAACCAGACTGGTCCACCAAACTAGAGACCGTGAAGGACCAAATCATCAAGAGACTCAACGGTCCAGAAGTCAGATGGACAGACACATTGGCCAAACTTAAGAAATATTACTATGAGAAAGACCACTTCAGCTTGACTGACGTCTGGGCAGTGATGCTTGTCGCATCATATGTGAAAAAGGCCAGTTACTATTCATAACATAACCCACCATGACTTGTTGAGGGTTGAGGTGGTCATGTTCAGTTTTAAAGTGCTTGTGTTTTTATTAGAGGTCGACCGATAGTGGATTTTACGGATAACGATAACTAGGTATTATTAGATACATGTATATTGTATGTATACTTTCACACTTTATTTGCTTCTATTTTAGAAAACTTAATGATAATCTAATCAAAATAACAAAAAAAAGTATTTCACTGATGATAAAAATAACGCGTTTCTAATCTATTTATGTAGATCATGTCGGTTGCATGAACAAATAAATGTGCTTTCTCCTTTCACTTTAAATATGCAACCTCCCTGGCTAACCGATGCATAAAAGCAACCAGCTTGATATAAACTTATGCAAATAGACAGTAACAATTGTGACATTAAACATTTGGGTCAGACTTGCGTGTGTTTTCATCACATTGTTTTAATCGACTAATGTTCACATCCTCTCAGCCAAATGGCAAACATAGCCTAGGCCCAGGGCTATCCTTAGCTGACGCGGGGCCCGGTGCGAGGTAGGGAGCGGGGCCCCCCTCGGTCCGTTCGCGATTGCGTTCCGGTCGCCGTGGGGCCCCCTCAAGCGCGGGGCCCAGTGCAACCGCACCAGTTGCACCCCAATAAGGACGGACCTGCTAGGCCTACTACTGCTCTCCACTAGTGCAGCATCTTGTCAACAAATTAATTACTTTATAATATGAAATCATGCACTATAGTATACTGTATATACACACCGTTTCGTTGTCTGTTTTAAATCCGCATCTGAAGTGTCCCGCTCTGTGCAGCGTGCAGTGTCACGTGTCAAAACAAACAGCACGTGGTTTCATTGATTCCTCCTCTAGAGGCCACTCTCATACCTTCTCAGCCACTCCAGCAACAGACGCAACCCGGAAAAACTATGGAGTTTTGCCGATAACCGATTTTCCAGCGTTGGTTATCGGTACCTATTAATCGGCCAAACTGATCTACTGGTTGACTTAAAGTTTTTTTTTTTTTTTGATGTTGGGCCTCCAATGAACTTGCATAGTTTTTAAGAGAAATAATAGTGTGGGAGATATTTTTGTTTTGTTTTACATTACAAACTACTACAAATTTAGTGCCATCTTCTGATATATTAAACATACATGCAGCTGTTATGCTGATAATATTAATTGCAATGAAATGTTTTACATTTTAAATCATTTTCACGAGTGGTCTCAGCTAACAGTAAAATGCAAATATATATATATATATATATATACATATATAATTGAATGAAGTAAAGTCCCTGGTGGAACCTTCTGAAGAACCTCAAACTTCATTTTGTAAACTCAAGAAACTTCAACACATATTTCGAGTGTCACAAAGCCTTTTCTTTAGGATGGTATCAGTGGAGGAATCGCTGATCATCTTTGGAGTTCTTGCAGAAAGTCATGAGCTACATTTTGTACATTCCTCAGAGAACCGCCCTTTCTAAAAGGGCCTTTTAATTTTTACATTTGCAGCTTGATTTTAAGAGAACTTTACTCAAGACATGTTGAGCAAATTTCATCACTGAAACTTTTTTAGTGATTGCCCTGGCTGTCTCTACTACAACATGACGCTGTAAAAAATATATTCTCTTCAGATTGATGACTGCAAACTCTCAGATCAGTGGGACCAGTTCAGTAAAGACCCGCTTCCCATCTACACAGTGATCGACAAACAATCCAAACAGCGTGAGGAAGGAGGTCTGTGTTTTTGTCTGAAAGAGACAGAGTTAATGTGCTCATGTCAGCTGTTATATGGTGGTGTTTTCTGTCTGCAGACCCCTGGTTTGAGATCAGTCCACATGAAGCAGGTTATTCTCTCATTGGAGCTTTTGTGGGAACATCCAGCTTCGGCAGCCAGTTTAAAAATAAGATGAAGAAGCAGGATGAAATAGACATGCTTTACCTGCAAGGTAACAAAATCTGTTGGAGGACTGCCTTAGAGTGTATTATTATTTGTAATACCAACTTACAGTGTATATTGTACACAATGCGTTGGCCTAGAATAAAATACATCAATATTCTCTGGTATTTTTTCTAACATAAAACTTTATGGCAATTACATTAACAAGTTGAGGGGGACAAAATTGGTTTCATTTATTTGAAACGTTTGTTTCATCTTGTGTATTCTGCAGCTCTGTGCAGCAGTGTTTTAGCTGATGAAGAGGAGATCTGGAAGTGGATAAAAGGTACAACATGAATTGTGAAACTTGCGGATTTAATTCTGCTTAAAAGTAATTTCATTTTCATTTGATTTTGTTTTTCAGCTCTTTTCAGATCAGAGAAAATGAGGAAAGGTATAGAATTTTATTGTGTTTATTTATTGATTAGTTCCATATATATATATATGTATAATTTGTGGTCAAGCAAATGTTCAAGCTACAAGCTGACAAATTAAGTGTCGTACTCTAAAATGGTCTATTAAAAAGGTCTCTTTGCACTTGCTAAAAATATATCGCCAGCCCTGACATGAATATTGTTTGTATGATTGCTTCTGGTTGTGGGGAAACACCTGCTATTCACTGTAAAAATGAAAAGATCTGTAGCAAATCAGCTCAAAAGGGAAATGTATATAAATAATTACAATTAATTATGTTTAATTACAATTATTTATATCAGCTGCCAGTAGTATCTGTAGCAGAATTAAATTGCCCTCAACTAGTCTGTTCGTCCAGCGAACATTCAGTGTACGTTCATTTCAACTCTAGGAAAGGTTATTTTCGTGGCCACAGAAAATACTTTCATACAGTATTAATGCATTAGAGCACGTAGCAAAATCGGAATCGCAAAGGGACATTAATTTGCAAGGCAGAATCAGAAACTCATGTAATTTGTGCACAAGAGTTTTATTGACTAAACACTAACACAAACTAGTCTAACCAACAAACAAACAATCAATCACTCATACAGGGGAAAGGGCAAATGAGACTTGATGGATGAAACCATCAGGAAAACCAGAGAATGAAGCTATGAAAAGAGTCAGTTAACCACCTGAGTAAAACCATGAGCACCGTTTATAATGGGGTCTATAGCTTATACTAAACCTCTGTTTCGTTTAGTTAAATGTACGATACTTGCATTGCCTTGGCCTGGGATGAGCGTCTGGATGCAGTCTCGGATGAAAGTCTTGATGAGACTTGATGAGATGGTGATTGGGAGTTTCTTCCCAGTGGAAAGTGAAAAAGAGCTAAGAGAGACATCAGCTGAGATCCTAGGATCTTTGGTGAATGGAAATTCAAGGCCGAGGCCTGGCAGGAACTTAGGGTGTCCTTAGAAGACTAGCTCGGCATCCCCATCTTCTGAGAATCTAACAGAACCGCAGACTTAAGGCGGGTCACTGATGTGAGGCCTTTAAGGTCTGAGAAGATTCACGCCTCTCAGGTTGGAAATACTGGGGAGTTTTATGACCCTTTGTCTGACAGCATGGTAATTTGCATATGGAACTCGAATGGGTCAGGCTCCAACACGCTTCTTAGCAGAAGAAGAACAACAAGAACTGGTGGAACTGTGCGTGAGCCTTTTAAGGTATGAGAAGAGTCACGCCACTCAGGATGGGCTTGTCCAATGAGAAAGGCTGAAATTCCAAGCGGGAGGTTGGAAATACTGGGGAGTTTTATGACCCTTTGTGTGAGAGCATGGTAATTTGCATATGGAACTTGAGTCGAAATTACTAAAGATTCTCAGGACACTAATATATTGCCTATGTACCAACATATAATATACACGCTCGTTTAGATCATCAGAAGACGAATTCATAGAGACCAAACATGGTAAGATTACATATAGGTAAGATTACATGAACGAGTGGTTCTATCATAAGCATGCATAAAACAGTATACA